GTATTGAGAAAAAATGGTAAAATCTGGACGTTGGTTCTTATTTCTTTAAATTTGTAACTAACCTTGGAGTGTTATGGAGTCATTGAGTCCGCAGTCGTACAGTGACAGAACCTTGAGAGAAGTCAACGCTCCAATGCCATGAAAGAAGTTGGTGGAAAGGATAGAATTATCCAGAAACAACTCTTCCACTTTGGACAAGTTATGAAAACCTAATAAGAAAAGCATTTAATTATATTCTTGCAATCTTCTGTCATAATTAATAAATTTAGAGCAAGAACATATATTTCTAAGAAAAATATCCTAAGAAGATGGAAAAGAAGTTACAGTAAAGATAAAAATTTACCATAAAAATTTTTAGGCCAATAAAATATAACAAGATGGCACATTTTTGAAAGGAAAGCTTTTAATTGTAATAATAAATTGGAGATAAAGCAAGCTTACCTCTTTTACTCGGGTTCATTCTTATTTCACCATCTCCTAGGGAAACAACTTTTAAAGATGGAAGACTCGCCAAAGACGATAGGATGTTGTAGCTGAAGTTTATTCTTCCCCTTAGGTCAAGCACTTCCAAATGGTCAAGTCTTGACAGCTTTTCTAAATCAGCTGTTACAAATTAACAATCAAAGCTTGTTGTCCATCAGCGTCTAATTTTGCTAAGCATATAACATAAAATTAAAACTGTATCATAGTTTGAAACTAGTAAGTTGTTCTAGTTGCCACTCAAGGATGATAAAACACTATTGTCCAACTTACTATGATTTAGATCGAGAATTTGCAAGTTTTCTCAACATAGAAAAGGCTCTCAAAACGTGCAATACAAATAATTATTTATTCAGTTTTTGAAGTCACATATATATTAAGATGAAACAATAAGGAAATGGATTCTATAAGAGCGAGGGGGGCATCTATACCATCAGCATGGCTGGATGCTTGAAATTCGTCTTCAGCTAGATATAAAAACTTGAGAGATGGAAGTTCACTCAAAGATGATAAGATACTATTATTGGTCAACATATTATATCTTAGATCGAGGAATTCCAATTTTCTTAATTTAGAAAACTTCTTGAAACCTGCAATACAGACAATTACTAATTCAATTTTGGAGCCACATATATAAGAAGATGAAACAACAAGGAAATAAATTTCAATAAGTAAAAGGTGGATATCTGTACCATCAACATGGTTAGATGCTTGGAGTTTGTTGCGAGCTAGTTTTAGAGACTTGAGAGATAAAAGCTCAGTCAAATACAACAAAATGCTGTTATTGAAGAAATTTCCTTCCAAGTTAAGGATTTCCAAATGGCTCAACTTCTTTGAATGCTTAAGAAACCCTGCAAGTAGAACACAAGAATTGTAATTTTGGTTTAATTAAAAAAATAACACAAATAAAATGTAGGATAGGACAACAATAATGAGATGAATCTACCAATCATATACATATTGAAATGCTCGATCGTTGATAATCACAATATTAGCTAAGTTGAACGGTAGTTAAAAACCTTCATTTTCAATATGCAACTAGCTATTCAATTAAAATTCAAAGTGAGACTTCAATTCCTTAAATAGAAGAAACAAAGAGGCATTCAGATACATGTCAGTGAAACTACTACTATATGCTTCAGCCTGTGTGAAAGTAGGGATGAGTGAGATGACTAGTTTTGTGGTGAAAGTTGCAATCAACCTTCTTCCATTGACAATAATCTATATTTTTACTGTCCTCTCACCCAGTTTCTTAGAGAAAAAATAGAATTGAAGAAACGTTTGAGTTGGAGGAGAGCACTTCACTATCAGTCCCAACGCCCTTGGTACCACTGCCAATCTACTAAGAAGAGTGTAAGTAGCACATACATTAACCATTTCAACTCCATCAAAATAAGCTCAGATCAACCGCCAAGTATTGCTACTACATATCTCTGGGCCATTACCAGCAATTCACTTTAGACTTTTCTATGCACAAGTAAGCATCTATTCCATGATTTCATTTTTTGTCAAAAATGGGTTCTGCACATTCTTAATTCAACTTAGCAATTTCCACTTTCTACAACAATTATATGTATCCTTTTTCTTTTCTCTTTAATTCCTTATTTCATTAAAAATATATTAAAAAAAGATCATAACAAATTGGCTTTTATTGAGATGAGATTATCAAGGGAAGGAAGAATTTATACCTTCATTACTAATAAATGGCTTAATTATATTGAAAAAAAAATCAAAATGGCAATTGAATTTATTGACTTTAACGACGTCCTAGCATAAAGATTAAAGTCAAAACTGTACCATAGTTTGACGCTAATAAGTTGTTCCGGGCTAGATTTAGAGACTTGAGAGATGGAAGCTCACTCAAAAATGATAAGTTACTATTATTCAACGTATTGTCTTGTAGATCGAGGATTTCTAAATTTCTCAACTTAGAAAGTCTCTCAAAACCTGCAATATATACAATTATTAATTTAACTTTGGAGCCACATAAATATTAAGAAGAAACAATAAGTAAATAGGTTTCTATAAGTAAAAAATGGATAATTATACCGTCAGCATGATTAGATGCTTGGAAATTGTTGTCACCTAGATATAGGGACTTGAGAGATGGAAGCTCACTCAAAAATCTTAAGATATTATTGTTCAATTGATTATCAGATAGATCGAGAATTTTTAGATTTCTTAACTTAAAAAGCTTCTCAAAACCTGCAAAATGTACAATTATTAATTTAATTTTGCAGCCACGCATAAATATTAAGATGAAACAATAAGGAAACAGGTTTCTATAAGTAAAAAAAAGACAATTATACCATCAACATAGTTAGATGCTTGGAAATTGTTGCCACTTAGATATAAGGACTTGAGAGATGGAAGCTCACTCAAAAAAATTAAGATACTATTGTTCAATTGATTATAATATAGATCGAGAATTTCTAGATTCCTTAACTTAGAAAGCTTCTTGAAACCTGCAAAATGTACAATTATTAATTTAATTTTGGAGTCACACATAAATATCAAGATGAAACAATAAGGAAACAGATTTCTGTAAGTAAAAAATGGACAATTATACCGTCAACATGGTTAGATGCTTGGAAATTGTTGTTGCCTAAATATAGGGACTTGAGAGATGGAAGCTCACTCAGAAATGTTAAGATTCTATTGTTCAATTGATTCCAAGATAGATCAAGAATTTCCAAATTCCTCAACTTAGAAAGCATCTTGAAACCTACAATATGTATAATTATTAATTTAATTTTGGAGCCACACATAAATATTATGATGAAACACTAAGGGAACACATTTCTATAAGTAAAAAATGGACAGTTATACCGTTAGGATGGTTAGATGCTTTGAATTTGTTGTTGCCTAGATATAGGGACTTGAGAGATGGAAGCTTGCTCAAAAATATGAAGATACTATTATTCAATTGATTGTTAGATAGATCAAGAATTTTTAAATTCTTTAACTTAGAAAGCTTTTCGAAACCTGCAAAATGTACAATTATTAATTTAATTTTGGAGCCACACATAAATATTAAGCTGAAACAATAAGGAAACAGGTTTCTATAAGTAAAAAATGGACAATTATACCGTCAGCATGGTTAGATGCTTGGAAATTGTTGTCGCCTAGATATAGGGACTTGAGAGATGGAAGCTCACTCAAAAATGTTAAGATACTATTGTTCAATTGATTCCCATCTAGATCGAGAATTTCTAGACTCCTTAACTTAGAAAGCTTCTTGAAATCTGCAAAATGTACAATTATTAATTTAATTTTGGAGCCACACATAAATATTAAGATAAAACAATAAGGAAACAGATTTCTATAAGTAAAAAATGAACAATTATACCATTAGCATGGTTAGATGCTTGGAAATTGTTGTAGCCTAGATATAGGGACTTGAGAGATGAAAGCTCACTCAAATATGTTAAGATACTGTTGCTCAATTGATTGCTAGATAGATCAAGAATTTCCAGATTCCTTAACTTAGAAAGCTTCTTGAAACCTGCAATATGTACAATTATTAATTTAATTTTGGAGCCACACATAAATAATAAGATGAAACAATAAGAGAACAGGTTTTTATAAGTAAAAAATGTACAAATATAGTATTAGTATGGTTAGATGCTTAGAATCCGTTGTTGCCTAAATATAGACACTTGAGGGATGAAAGCTCACTAAAAGATGATAGGATACTATTGTTCAATTAATTTCTTTTTAGAATAAGGATTTCCAAATTCCTGAACTTAGAAAGCCTCTCAAAACTTGCAAAACAATTTCTTGCAACATTCAAGCTAATTACTAATTCAGTTTTGGGAGCCACAAATATAAAAATTTGAAACTACACCAAAAAGTAATAAAGATGAAACGATAAAGAACTGGGTTTTTCTTCTTTTTTTTTTTAAGTAAAAGATGAAATTAAGTTGAAAGACAGATTAAAACCTTCATTTTCCATGCAACCAGCTATTCCATTTCCAGCCAAACGGAGACTCTTCAATTCCACAAATGGAAGAAACAAAGATGCATTTAGATACATGACGTTCTCCAATTCCATAAAGCTATTCGGTGTGTACATGTAACTATCATATTCTTCGTCGAACCATGAGTAACTGAGATTGAGTGTTATGATTCGTCCAGAAGTAGAGTTGCACTCAATCCCCTCCCATTGACAACAATCTAAATTTTGCTCCCCTCTCTCCCAGTTTTTTAGGTGCGCAGGTTTAGGGAAGAATGGCTTGAGTTGGAGGAGAGCAGTTCTCTCTTGGTCCCAACACCCTTGGCACCACAGCCCTTCTAATAAGAAGAGTGTAAATAACACATAAATTAACCATTTCGACTCCATCAAAATATTCTCAGATCAACTACCAATTAAGTACTGCTACTGTCTCCTTGCATTCCCAGCAACACACCTTAAACCTTTATATACACAAGTAAGCAAAAGCAACTAGTCCATGACTCCGAGTTGTGTCATAAATGGGTCCCGCATATTATTAATTGATTCAACTCAGCAATTTCCACTTTCCACAACAATTATATGTATCTTTTTTCATTTTTCTTTTTTTTAATAGCAAAAAATAATTTATTAAGGAGGTACAAAGGATACCTTAAACTCATTACATTCACTAGTTATAAAACCATACAAAAAACAAGCTTGCAATTACAAAATACAAGCATCCAAACTAAAGTTTATTTAACAGTCATAACTCAGTCAAAAGGATTATTTTTCCATTCATACACTTCAACAGAGAAAAGGTGCAAATAAGAATTTTTTTTTCTATTTAAGAATGTTGATTTTGTTAGTTTCTAAATAAAGATGTCAACTTTCAATTTTTTTAATTTAAAGATGTCAACTTTCAATTTTTTCTATTTAAGAATGTTAACTTTTATTTTATTTTTTTTATTTAAAGATGCCAACATTATCTTTATTTCTTAAATCTGAAGAGTTTTATTTTACTACACCACTAGAAAGATATCACCACTAAGTTTTTTTTAGATTGTTGGTCTTTTTTTCATTTTTTCTCCATCTATATGAGTAGAGAAAATGTTTTACTCTGCAGTTTTTTTACTATTTTCAAAGCTTTTTTTTTCCTTTCTTTTTCGTCTTTTTTTTTTTTTTGGCCCTCAAATAAAGTCATGTGAATTTCCCATCTTGGTTGAGGAATTCGCCATTGAAAGAAAATGTTTATAAGAACATTTCAAACTTTGCTTCCTCTGTGAAAGTTCAGCGAAATTTAGCTTTTGAGAGTGACTTCAATAATGAAGACCTTTGAGTCAATGCTAATCTCCAGAGTCTTTTTCCTAATAAAAATGTATTAGGGTTTTAGAACGTCTTTAATTTCTACAATAATAGAAAAGAGATACCTTTGAGTTCATAGTCATACTAATTAATGTGGTGGGATTATATCATTCTACCCAATTTATGTTTTGAGAATGACAAAAATAAACTCCAAAAGTCTTTTGCATCTTCATATGTATTATTCTTGTAATTAAAAAGGGGTAATAATATACAGGTTTTTTTTTTTTGTATAATTTTTATTTACAATTTTTATATATTATTAAATAAGTAAATATATACAATGTTATGGGTCTTAGTAAAGTAAAAGAGTCAATCATTAAATGACATTTAATGAAATTTTCAATTAAGCTAACCGGACTATAAAAT